TGTAGAAAAGCAAAAGGCTGGGGGCTGGCCGCGCTCGCGAGCCCAGGGCATGCGCGATGGGGCGGCCGGGCCTGCGCACTGGGGGCGGCGGGGAGCTGGGCGGGGGGCCGGCGTGTGGAGGGGCCGGCTGCCCGCGTGGGCTTGGCAGCGTCCTCCTGGAGTTGGCGCGCGGCGCGTGAAAGCCGCGAAATTGTCCTATCTCTCCGGTCGGGGTCGCGAGTCCCGGGTTCCTCCGCATCCCAGGCTTCACGCACCCCCCCAGCTCTCTTGGGGACACGCTTACCCCTAACCGCCCCCCCCCCAACGCTGTTAATTCTCCCTCCACGGCCTTCGCATTAGGGGACAGAGGGAACCCGGAGAAGGGACCCCGGAGGCTTCGCGGGGCGGGGGTGGGTGCACACGGAAGGCCTCTGAAAAGTGAGTGGGTGTCAAAGCTGGACCCTCGCTACGCCTTGGGGGCTCTGGGAGGGGCAGGAGGCGGAGTTGGAAACTTTTCCCACACGTGGTTCCACACGCGTGGCCGAGTGGCCGCCGGGCCTTCCCGCCGTCGAGCGCGGACCACGCGGCAGGAGCTAAACTTGAACTTCTCGCAGGCGCCGCCGGCTGGAGACCCGTTAGACCGGAGAACCGCAGGACCTTGTCACTGACTGCTTCCTTTGAGAGGGGAGAGGTGAGGGAGGCCACCCTGGTTTCCCCACCGACCGCTGTCAGGTCGCCTATGTTTATGAAAAATTGTACTGAGGAGCTCATGGGAGTCCAGAAGTGATCAACAAAAAGGACCAGACTCTGGGTCACATGGCTGCATTTTGCTAGACACTGGAATAGATGTGTATGGATGAGAACGACACAGTGCCCTCTCTTACCAGCCCCTTAGTCACCCACTTCACTTTCTGCCCAGGCACATAAACAACCGGGCTCATCTCCTCACCCACCTGAAGCCCACACTGAGGGGCGAAAGGAAAAAGAGCTGAAACGTATTCATCACCCACTATGGACCAGGCATTGCGGTGGACATTTTTCTATTTCTCCTTCTCAGAATGCAAATCTACAAGTTTTATTAGTACTGGTGGCAAAGAAAATAGTAAAGACAAGGTTTTACTTCCTGATATACCAGAATTTCACCATTCATTGATCTTTTCATTGAACCAACATTGTCGTTATGTGCAGTCTAGTTGGCACTTACCCATTGTGACACTGTATAGAGTTTCCAAGGAGCGACTGGTGAGTTTGAACTGCTGTCCTTGCCGTTCAAACCGACTCCTTAAGGAGTCCTTAAGCAAATTAGTGTGGCACACAGTTGTGAGAACTGGGGATAGAGGGATTCCTGTTTGGGTTGTCTCCTGGTCTTAGGTTCTACCTGGAGTGTGCTCCCTGACAATAATTCAATGGTGTGTCTGTCTCTTGATTTTAGTCACTCTCCAGTTCTCACTTTTACAGCTTCCCGGTTTCTGGAGCACAGGACTAGAGCTTTTTTACTTTGGGGTAGGAGGAAGAGACAAGCTGCAATGGCAGAGGGGAGGGAGCACCCATTGGACTGTAAATAAGAGAACCGAGGTCTGTCACTGTCCAGGGAATATACCATTTGTCCCGAGGCAAGACTCTTCAATGATTAATTTTCTCATCTGTAAAGCAAAGAGGTTCAACCAAATGTTCAAAGAGTTCCCTTGCAAATCAGCCACCAGCCTTCCTCAAAAGATGACATTTGTTTTCCTTCTTTTTACTTTAAAGCTTGTAAGCCAGTCACTTCTTGCCTTTGTAGCCACACACCCCCCCCCACTTTTGAATAGTCAATGTCCAAGTTGCCCATCCCTGTCTACCCTGTGTATCAAGGGGGGTGGGAATTATCCTCACTGTAAAGATTTGGTCCCTCTTTTGGGAAAACATGACATCTTTCAAAGTAAATCGTGTGCTTTCTTACTTTTGAACAGTGAATGGTATATTGCATCTGGTTCAATTTATTAGGAACACAGGGCAACCTGACATGACTGAGCTAGCCAGCCCTGGAGCATTTAGCCAAACTAGTACTTCAAGGGGTGTGTGTGTGGTAGTGTCTAGGATGCTATTTTTCCATTGGATGCTTCGACCCACACTGAGGTTACCAATCTCATGCTCACAAATTGAAAGTAAGGATCTCGGCGCATTTTTAGGGTCATTAGACATGTGTGGTTGTCTTAGACACTGTAAGATTCTAGGGAAAACTAGGACTTACCATTGCAATTACGGTTACTTTTTAACAACTTGGGGGGTAAGGTTGAGGAAGGTGTGAAATTGGCAAATATAATAAGAGGTATTATATAAGTGACTTTGCAGAGTAGCCCTTGGCAGTCCTGTCTTTAAAGAGTAATATCGGCTATGGGAGGGAAAAAAAAAAAAAAAAAGGGATGGTAATACACTGCATCCAAGAACCTTGCCTTTGGCAAGAGTAATTTGCAAATGCATTTTGGGATAATGTTTAAATGATTTTTTTTTTTTCAGGGTCCAAGCGTTATCCTCACTGGAATTAGTAATGCCTTTTGGGTCAGGGTTTCATAGTTTTCTTTTTTCAGGGAGCTAAAATTGTTTGTGGATTATATTGTCTATATTGGTAAGGCCTTTCTTCCACAGTGTACTGGGTAAGTTTGAACCTCCAACCTTTCTGTTAGTAGTCAAACACAACCATTTATGCCACCCAGAGACCTTTATTTCTAGTTCTCTATATTGCCTGTGTTTTAATAGCTAATGATTAATAACTACCACATGATAAGCTAAGCATTTACTATGTGCCAGGCACAGCTCTATTTTCTGTTTAATCATCATGAATTTTAAATAAGGTTTTATGGTACCCATTTTATAATTGAGTAAACTGAGGCTTAAGAAGGTTAAACCTTTTATCTAAGGTGGTATAGCTATTAAGTGGTAAACTGAATTTGGTATGAGTGACTAAATCCTGTGTTCTTAGCAGCCATGTCTGAGTGGCTTCTCAGAATGACTCCTCAAGAATGCAAATGCTATATACAGGGGTGAGTCGAAAAGTATTGCTACAAAGCTTCCAGTTCATACATGCATAGGTTTTAAAAATAATACATTTGTCTTAGTCTCTGTTGGGTGCCATCAAAAAAGGTCCATCAAAATGGTGACTTCAGAGGATCCACTGGACCAGTTGAATTCAAGGCAGAGAGGTCAACTTAAAAGGTTATGGTGATTTGGGGGGGCGGACCCTAAAGGAGCTCTGGTAACGTAGTGGTTATGAATCGGGCTGCGAACTTAAAGGTCAGCAGTTCGAAACTACCAGCTGTTCTGCGGGAGACAGATGAGGCTTTCTGCTCCAGTAAAGATTTACAGCCTCAGAAACCCTGTACAGGGTAGCTAGGAGTAGGAACCGACACCACGGCACATAACCAACCAACCAAAGGGGTAGATTTTCTTGAAGTACACAGGATGATCACGGAGGCTTATTATGAAATTTTAAGAAATTGAAAACTGCATTGGTAAGAAAAAGGCCAGGAAGGTTGGGTCAAGGAATTTTTCCCCAATGCAAAACACTTGTTCATCCTTTGCTAATAACAAGGATTAAACTATGAGAATTTCACTGGGAAACTTTTCCCCATCCACC